GGGGGGCGGCGGCAACGGCAGCGGGAGCGGCGGCCGGGCGCGCGCGCGCGCTGTGTCAGGGGAGGCCGGCTGGAACGTTAACCGCTTATGTCTGATCCCCTTAGAGAGGATCGCTGGGCACAGCCGGGGCGGATTAGGCCTGATTAGGGTCTTTCTAGAACTGTTTTTGCTTTGAAAAGTTCACCTGCTCGTTGAAAAACAAAGGCTTCAAAAAGCCTCTTAATAAACTCTAAGTTGATTTCTTTTTTTCTGATGAGGATAAAATGACACCAGAAGCAAGACTTCAGCAGCTATTCTTAAGCCTTTGTTTTTTTTTTTCCATTAGGACTCAATAACTGTTGTAAAAAGAGGCTGTGGCTTATAAATCCTATACCTCACAAATCCTTGTCTTCAAGCTTGTCTGGTATGTTTATGTGGTATACACAGTCCTTAATTCTCCAGTCTGACAACTTTACACTTCATATAGTAAAAGTGGTTGCAGCAGAAGTGGCAATGAGCTACTTGAATTTGAGTACTACTCAAAGTCTTCTTAAAAAAATTATTTTATGCTAGACATTAAATAAACACTTGAGTAGACAGATCCTTCTTTCTGAACAGCTCAAAATTAATCTGTTTTCTGACTTCTAAATGGGTATGTTTTGTCATCACAGCTCACAAAATGGGGGCTTTCCGGGTCTATTCTAGTTCTAGTTACATTGCCAACTCAGAGTTATTTTAGTCCTTTCAAAAACTATAGCAATACAAAGCCTGCGTGAAATTAAACTGTCTCAACAGGTCTTTTAAACACTCCTCGCTCTTTGAGGATCTTGTGGTGTGAGGCGGGTCCAGTTGTGCAACTTGCATTTTCCTTGTGCTTGTTTGGAATTTGCGCTAGTATCACTACAGTGGTTCTTGGAAGCTGAGTCTCAGCTGCATGTTTGATCTTTGGTTTTGTTTAAATTTAGCTAATTTTTCCTTTAACAAAGGATAAGGAAAAGCAGCTAATTAAAGGAGATGTGGAAAACAAATAACCTTTTTGAACAAGTGGTTTTCCATTCACTCATCAGTAGTTTTTGTGCGTTTTACAGTAAATGACGTTGTATGCATTTCTTTTCTGCTGCAAATAAAAAAAAATGTGTATCAAATTGCTTCCTCCTGACAGCATATAGAATCATGCAGTAGTTTAGGTTGGAACCAGCTTGCTGCTCAGAGCAGGTCAAAATCAAAATTAAATGAGCTCACCCAGGCCCTCATTCAGTTGAGCTCTGAAAACTTATAAGGACAGAGGTTTTATAATCTCCCAGGGCAACTGTTCCTGTGCATAACTACTTTCATAGTGAAAAATGTTTTCCCTTGGATCCTATTGCAGTTTCCCCTGCTGCAACTCGTAGCTGTTGTTTCTTGTCCTTCCTCAGCACATCTCTGAGTGCCTGCCTCTGTCTTATGTGTAATAACCTTCAAAGTAATGGAAGGCAGCACTCGGATTTCCCTCCTTACTCTTTCTCCTATCCCTTTTCCCCTGCCCAGGCTAAACAAATCCAGCTCCCTCAGCTGCTTCTTGTACATCACAAGCTCTAGCCGCCTGAGCATCTTAGCCTACGTTAGACTTTCTCCGGTTTCCCTTGTACTGAAGGGATCCAAAATTGAGCATAATAGTTCAGATGTGGCCTCTTGATTGCAGAGCAGAGTGGATTAGTCACTGCAATTAGCTACCATCACTGTGAAGGTGTGCTGCTAAGCTTCACGTATGTCTGTTTCTTCCAAGAGTGTACTATGAGTACTGACAGTCTCACTCTTCTCATCTGTTACCTCAAATGCACTTCTTTTTGTAGAATTCCTGCTCTGAAATGGGCATTTTCCAAGCAATTACCTTGGATACACCAGTCAAACTTTTAACATGAATAAAGCACAGTTACAGCCACAGCAAAACTTACACTTTGCTCATTCCAAACCATCCTTAACCTGTCCCATCCTTTCAGCAAGCATTCTTGTGAATTAATATTCCATTGGATTATGCATAAATGCATTTTCCCTAATCCTCTGTAATCCGTACATTCTGTAATGCATATATTTTTCTAGCAAGTATACTGTACTACACATTTCATAAACCTATCTGTTCATTTTATGTGCATACTAATTCTATTCCATCTACATATGAGCAACACACTTCTTTCAACTGTCATTCCCAACATGTATACCATATATCTTCTGTCCCTATCATCTGAAAATTTAATCTTGTTTCTAGACTAGCCAAGGAAAAGAGGGCTGTATGTGAGCAGTGTGTGCTAATTTTGTGCTTGAGCTTGTCCATTTTGTATATACCACAAATGGAGCAGAAAAGTCATTAGATTGTATGATTTAAAGGATTACTAAAAATCCATAAATGCTGTTTATGTAAAAACAGTTTCTGGTAAGAAAAGCAAAGATTTGTGGTAACTAATATCCATTTTACCAGTCAGACAGCCCAATTGAGTGCCTTGTTAAGCCTCCTGGTCAATCTTTCTGAAAACTATTTCTCCTACAGTTTAGGAATAGAGTGTCTTAAGGAGCTGTATCATTTCAACTGCTACTCAGGTTCGTAATCTCAAGTATGTTTTTTAGACAGGCATTTTTCTATCTCTTTTTTTCATAATTTATTAACAAAATCACCTCTACTAATTTTATTTTTTGGTGGGAGGAGAGGGCTTGTCATTCAGTCTTCACAAAGCTATTGTCTATTTCAAGTGTTACTCTAAGCTGGAAGAAACTGGGAAAAGATTGGATGAGAAAGGTAGAATGATCTGTGTTGTTATGGTGTTTCTTATTGATGGGAAAATATGATGCAGAGCCTTATTTTCCCAGCAGAAATCAGTTACAGTGAGCTTCCTTTTCATACAGGAATGAACTTTCAGTAGACAAAACTAAAAGGAAGAAAAGAAGAGAATTGACAGAAGAGCAGAAGCAGGAAATTAAAGATGCCTTTGAGTTGTTTGATACAGACAAAGATAGAGCAATAAATTATCATGAATTAAAGGTAAAAGGAAGTACTTAATCTAACCTTCTGGTTCCACAGTTTGGTTTTATCAAGTAATTCAAGAATTACTTGAAAGAAGATATGGGTATTTTCTACTTTAATTCTTGTTACAGAAATGTCTTTATCTTAAAGGTACGGTGATTGTCATTTTATTTCAGGGTTCAGGTACTTTATCTCTACCAGAAGCCACAATGTGTTAGGTACTGTTTGGATATATGGGCTGTTAATACACTTTGTCCAATTGCAGTATGCTTTGTATTCCCAGCAGTTGTGATTATTGATTATTTGCAATGATGTTTCTCCGCTGTTGCACTAGATACTGGGGCCCTGAAATGGCCAGTGCTGTGGAAAAACAGAGATATATAAAACTAAGAAATACCTCTTCTCTAAGAAGTCAGCACATGGCATAGATTTGAACGGATTTATCCAATAGCATTGTGGTTTTCCATTTCTGGTTTAGCGTATGTTCATTTGTTTACAAGCAGTCACGTTAGTGTGTGCTGAGAAATTACCGTCGCAGTTGAAATGTGGAAGCTGAGCATGTACTCCTAACCTGATACAAAAATAAAAAACAAATTGGCATATGTTGTCCTAATGGCATCAGTGGAGAAGTAGTAAGTTAAGTCATTTGTAAGATGACTTGTAAACCCATGAGCAGGCATGATCTCAGTGTGCATGTTAAAGAAGAATAATTTGAGGAATGATTTTCAGTGTTGTTATATTGAAAAAAGACAGAATTTCCCTGTAACTGTGTTATAGCACCTGATTAAAGTGCTTGAAATATTTTTGAAAATGATTAAAAAAAAAAAATCTACTTGTCCTAAGAAGTAATTGGGCCAACTTAAAAAAAATCTCTGAATTTACAAAATGATGTTGTTTCATTGTAACTTGATGTTCCAGTTGCTAATACTAGTTTTAGATGATTTTATATACAAAACTTTTTTGCTTTTATTTTTTTTTTAATTTTACTTATTAATGCTCCTGTTCCACTGATGTGCATGTTTTGTATTGGATAATAAGATACTCCACAAAAATAAAAATAAATCTGTTTTATCCATGTAATAATATTCATATATTGTTGTACTTCTGTTTTATTCCAAAAGGTGGCAATGAGAGCCTTGGGTTTTGATGTGAAAAAAGCTGATGTACTGAAAATACTTAAAGATTATGATCGAGAAGCGACGGGCAAGATCACCTTTGATGATTTTAATGAAGTTGGTATGTATTTGGTTGTGTACCTTTAGAAAAAGTGGGTAGAGAAGCAATACTTGGCATGCTTTTTCAGTTATTTAGTACCATTAAGAAATGTGAAATTTCATTTTATGTTTTTCTTAATAGAAGTGGTTAGAGGAGGAAGATGATTCTTTGCATACTGCATACTCAATTAATATGTGGAATTGAATCATGGAATCAGTATGAAAGGAATTAGTGTACATATAGTCCTAATCTGTTTCAGACTCCTGCAAATGAAAAAGCTTTAGCTCACACAAATGTAGATATTCTTGTGCTGCTTTTGAATACTGTAGGATTCTCCTTCCTGTTTACACAGAAATAAATGTGATGCTAGAAATTAAATGAGATGCCACTTCTAGCAGAAAGATTGGGGAGTTAGACAAGATAGGTTACAGAAAAAATAATTCTGAAGAGCTGTTTAAATATCATGAAACAGTTGTTAAGCCATCAGTTTTCCGTGGTTTAATTTATGAAAAGGTGAAGCTATTGCTAACTCTATTCAGTAATTTTCTTATCTATACAAATGTTAATTTTGGTTTTAAACGTAGGAATGGTCGATGTGACATGTATAAAGGTACAGTAATATTTTGTCTTGTTTCGTACGGTCACAATACCTATAATATTTAGAGACCTAGTGTTTTGTTGTTTTTCAGATAATGTTGCAGTCATCTTTTTTGCCCTAAAAAGTAGAATTTTTAAATGATGTAAGCTGTCATACATAGATAGTTGTTTTAAATGAAAATACTTAAATTTAATCTAAATCTGAAGGATTTATATACGCATTTAAAGCTCATTGATATAGTGAACATATATGAGCTTGAATGAAAATTTTTTCCTATCAAGTTCACTAAACCAGAGAAGGCATTCCATCTGCAAACAGTAGCAGATCCAAGTGGTTCTCTATGCACCGGCAGGGATGACATGTTTTTAATGGCTTGATGAAAGCCATAAATGGCAAGTCCTGTAATACAAGACTAGGAGGTACAAAGATGTGAAGATATTTACACCTGGTTCCAGAAATGTCTGAAATAATTGCTAGTAAAATATTTTTATATGGCAGATTACTTTGTCTGTTTTTTCTGTTATAGAAACTGACAAACGCGTAAGATAGAAGAAATAATCAAGATTGACGAATCCTGTCAGAATTAACATCTTGCTGTTCACAATAGCGTCCCTTCGATAACCCATGGGTTTAGATTTTGGTTTTTTTTTTTGTTCGTGCAGTTTTATATCTAAAAGAGAAGGTCAGGATGAGTGTTTTTCATTGCTCAGTGTTGTTTCACTGTTCTCTGCAAGTCAATATTCTATCAAATCATAACACTTAAAGTCAACAGATTCACATGTCTGCATCTGTCAGAGGTGATCTTTTGTTCTGAATTGCAAGTTTGGAACAGACTAGGAGTGCATGTATTTTCAGTTCCTATTGGAAAGTGTATCGAAAGCATGAGTATGTCTAAATTGCTGTGTAGGCTTTGGCCATAACTGGTGTGTCCTCAAGAGACACATATCTTAGGAAAAGAGAAATGAGAAAGGACAAATAGCAGCAAAACAAATATGCATGTTAGACTGAAATGGGTAAGGATAAAAGAGTAGATCAGATCTGAAGTGTTCATTCTTAATATTACCTCATTCTGTTAATGTCATTCTCAATTTACCCTTCAGAGTTTCTTAGACTAACTTCAGTTTTCTTATCATAGTGACAGACTGGATATTGGACAGAGATCCACAGGAAGAAATACTCAAGGCATTCAAACTGTTTGATGATGATGACTCTGGTAAAATAAGTCTGAGAAACCTGCGCCGGGTTGCGAGAGAACTTGGTGAAAATATGACTGATGAAGAATTGCGGGCTATGATTGAAGAATTTGATAAAGATGGAGACGGAGAAAGTAAGTGTTAAGAGACAGAATCCAGTATAGTCTGTTCTTAATTTTCTCTCCAGTTAACATTTAGTTGTATTCTGAAAGTGACTGAAATCTGCAGCGTTACCCTCTTTGATTTTCTTCTAAATGATTTCCAGAGCAAACTTGATTTAGCTGACAAACAGTGGACATAATGATCCCTTCCAACCTTCACCATTCTGTGATTCTGTGAGACTTGTTTTTGATAGTTGCTAGTCCTGGAAACACGTTTTAAAGTCTAAAAATCCAGTTGAGTTCTCTGCCCTTAAATTCACCAATAACTCCCATTCAGCCAGCTGCTATTAAGACTGGTAAAAGTATAGTTGAAAGTGAAAGTAATTTAATTGGTACATGGGAAATTCCGTTGAATTCTAACTGCACTGCATTTTTATTTCCATGTACATTAGTAAAAGCATTGAAGAGCTAAGTTCTCACTCCTGTGATCTAGTCCATTGTTTCTCCAGTGGTAATGCGCCGATGTTGTGGTTTCCATATGTTGGTGAGAAAGGGAGTATTAAGCTAATAAACCACGCTGGATTTACCTCAAGTCTGTGCAGGATCAGCTTGGATGGGTCTTGAACATGCTTTTGGGAGCAAGAGTGCTAAAGACTGTAGTATGAAAAGTGGCTCTGGGCAATGAGCAAGATCCATATAGTGTGCTGCAGAAAAGATTTATTAGCTAGATAAAGATTTAGTAAACAAATATATTAAATCTCATTAAATAAAGCTAATTAAGCCTTCCTGAGCAGTGATACTTTGGGTTTTTTTCAATTGCCAAAAAGCCCCCTATATTTACACCAGAAAGCTTAATACTTGAATTTCAGAGACCACTCACTTCAGCCCATCTGCATAGACTGTGCATCGCTAACAGTCACAGGAACCTCCCTCAGAGTTTTTCTTGCGTGATGCCTGCCAATATGTGAGATTGCACTAGCAGTTCACCAACTTCTTCAGTTGCAGTACCATTTCTAGTTATGAGCCACCTCATCTGTTGGACTTGAAACTCCCACTACTAATTTTAAAAAAAAAAAAAAAGTTGCATCGTTGTAAGCCTTGTGACAGATGCTATTCCCCTCTATTGTGCTTGTGATAGCTTGTTATTCCACACTTGGGAAGGCAACTCCAAGTTTGGCAATTGCTGACTTGCCCTTGCTTGCACTTACTCAAATGCAGAAACAAAAAACCCCTGCTCTTTCAAGAGGTACAGTGGGACGTTTAAATATGGTCCAGTGCTGTGGAAATAGGAAGGCTGCATTCCATTTCAGTGGTGTAAATATGGAGCCTGTAGGCAGAGATTGTGAAGGTCAGTGTTTCAACTGCCATGATAGTGTTATTGTTGATACTGTTACTATAAAATTCAGTGTATTGTTGAGAAGAGTGTGATTTCTTTCCTTTGGAGATACTGTCTTCTAATAATTGTCTGCGAGTCTCAGGCCATGATTTCATGATAAATCCATGCTGCATAATTCTGGTGTTCCTCCACACTCCCAGCAATGTCTTCCCATCCCTTTCTTGCACTGGCAGTATCTGATCCCACAGGATAGATATTTAAAGGAGTTAAGCCAGCAGCAAACTAATTATTTAGGTTTTTAAGCATTATTTTTCTTCCTGTTTAGATCCCTAAACTCACTTACTGCTTCACTGGAGCTGTATCATGAGAAAATGGAATTCCTTTTCATTTTTTTTTTTTCCTTTTTTTCCCCTCCTCTCAGCATTTCCTATAGGTTAATTGAAGGAGGTCAGTATACTGACATCTGCAAATCTTGTTTTCAGGCACCTATTTGTGTGCAGTGGCACACAGGATTTTAGCTTTGAATTCCAGTAGACAGTAGGACACCTACTTACCTGCTTTTCAGCAGCTGTATAGCAAACAGAGAGTGATGGTTGTTTTCTCCAGCTGTTAGATTGATTGCTGGTCTAGGCAGATACTTCTGTTTTAAGGTTATTTTACTTTTAGAAGGAATGACTGGAATAACATTGCATTACTAACAATACCTGTTTTTTCTGAATTCTTCAAAGTAGTTATAGGTGAAAGGTCTTTTTCTGCATGTTTCTTTAGAGGCTCTCATTTTACATTTTTTGAAGGGGTAGCCATAGAGGTGAGCAAGAGTAGGAAAAAGTCAGCCAACAGACATATTTTGTTCTTGGTTGCTCTGCTGAGGCTGCCAACTGAGATGCCAGAATTGTGATTGAGGATGGTTTTTATCATGTGGCTATTTGGACACTAGAAATTGAATGTCACTAGAAGCTGAAGGTAGACCATTAGCTTCTTTCAGGAAGGTTACTGAGTCATAATTATTTTGGATCAGGGCTACATTTCTGAATTCAAACTGATCACCTAAGAGTGAACGGCTCAGTTTCCTTTTATTCATTCATCCATTCATTCTTCTTGTTAGAGTAGTCAAGCACGAGATTGAATGTGGAAGATTGACAGCATAATGTTTATATATGGTGCTGTTTATCCTTAAGGTTCTGTGTGTTTTCTGTTCTTTAAAGAAAACTGATGCTGTTTCTAGCTTTTTAAGATTCATTTTGGAAAAAAGTAAAGAATCCTATGATTCACTGTTCCATTTAGCTTCAAACATCTGGATCATGTCACAAAATTTTGCTGTCATATAATTCTCCTTCTTCTTCTACAAAGAAAAAAAAAATGGGACTATTAGTTGGTAGCTTTTTAATGGATACTTTAAATATAGAAATAATACCACTTGTTTTTTAACACCCTTCTTATACTTGAAAGATTGTTTTGCTCGTAGCAAGATAAGGTCTATTGATATCCATGTTACACTGAACTTTCAGGCACCTTTAGAGTCAGAACTTCTAGTTTTTCCAGCTAAACCAGTGAGCTGTACTGGTACGCAGTA